AATAGATTCTTCTTGTCATTTAAACCTCTTTAATGCTAAAATTAAACAGGCATAATATCTTTTATTATTTAATGTCTTTTAGATTAATGATACTGCATATAATACATATGATATAATTTCCTTAATAGGCAGTACAAATGGAAGAATCAGCCACTTATTAAGAAAACCAGAATAAATTTTTTTAAAGATTATAGTTAAGGTAGGAAAGTCCTGTTGTGAGCAGCACTGCAAAGGTCTTCTCTTAGTTATGCTCTTTTATCACCTTTTCTTACCTTGAGTTTATTTACTAGCCATATCTTATAAAATTTATTTATGCAGAACTCATTATTTATAAATTATTCATTTCCAAAATTAAAATACGATTGAAATTGTTGATAATGGTATGATCAGTTAAAATGTTACTTAATAGTTGGTTATTAATTGAAAAAGTACATAGAGCACAAAGTCAATTTTTAAGCTTTTGGGGAGATAATGTAAGTATTTTTAATTGAAAATTTCCATCACCCTTCCTTGAAACCATTTTTACTGTGTCAAAATATATAGAAAAGAAAATTAGCAATACAAAATTTAAGTGGGAAAAGTTGAGTACAGTAATGGGAAAAGGTCGGACAATGGGACCTGAAGAAGGGACTGAACAGACGTGCAGGCTAGAAGACTGTCTGTGTTGGGAGCATTACATCTTGCATTGTGTGTTCAAGTTCCCCAACATGAACGGTGAGTAAGTACAAATTTTAATAGCGCAAGTGCAGGATTCAGAGACAGGGCCAAAACAGATGCCCAGGGGTGACAGGCACAGCTTCCTGTTGGCACACCTGCCTTCCAGCACAAAGGCAGGTGGACATTGACTGTGGACTGGAAAAGGTATAAAGTGAGTTTCCTAGAGAAACTCCTGAACATTTCAAGAAAATAGTAGCACAATAAAAGAACTACAGGAGAATCAAGAAGGACCATTTTCTGCACTTGTTTATGAGTTTAGTAGTTAAAGAAAGAGGGAGAGGTAATAGAGATGTATAATGAAGCAGTGTAGGAGGGGTGGATCAAATAGAAGTTTTATAAGAATAAAATATCTCAGAAGTTCGGGGCAGTGTGATAACAGTCACATTGCTTTAAACTATTTATTTTATATTTTACAACACTTCAAAGAGTTGGTCACATTGAATGATTAACTTTTGCTATGTTATGCATCTTGCTGAAAAAAGACACTTAAAACATATAACATATTGTTTAAAAACTCTTTCAACAAAAATAAAATTTCATCATTTCTATTCAATTCTGAAAAGTTTGGCATGACTTTTGGTCTTTATATGCAGTGCAAACAGTGAGACATTGATATAAATTACTTAGAAGTGCCATTGAGAAGTTTAAATATTTGAGGTTTTTAACCCAGAAAATGTTTACATTAAATAGTTTGAAGCAAATGCCGTCTGTTGCAAGTTATGGATCACTCCTCACTACTTTTTGTTCTTTTAAAACTTTCTAATCCCCACACACTCCCACCCCACACAGCTTTAAGTAATCTATTAGGAATTTTCAATTTGCAGAAAATATTTTAGTAATACATCAACTTCTGAAAGAAAGCTATAGCATGGAAATTTTGATCATTTTTAAAAAACTCTGGTAGATATTAAATTTTGTTCTTCCTCTAGATATTTTGCTGTTGATATAAAGGTACTGAATCAAAGAGATTAAGTGAACTAACTATTGTTCTTAGAATCTAGATATGCATCAAGCATAGAGCACTGATACAAGTTTGAGCTCCAACTTGCCTTTATCCAAGGTTAAAATGTTAGTGCTAAAGACAAGATTTTACAGTTCTGGTTGATTTTTAGTCTTCAGTTTCCTGACACCCCACACACCATCTTCCACTGGCACCACATGATAGTTTAATTATTCAACACTGAGGCAATCATAACAGATTATTTTAAGTGAGTTGAATTTGATTCGTATTCTTCAAAAGATTTTAGTACCTATGTTCATTAGAACAATTAAATCCTAGAATGCTTTTGGAGAAAGGCTGACAAGCTTATTGTGATTTAGCATTTTGTAATAGAATATTCATATAAGGATGTGCTGAAACAGAATTCTGATTTTCAAAAGCATTTACTAACCAACACTTTATAGGCAATATTTAGAAGATGTGAGAACTTGTTGGCAGAGTATGTATAATTTTTAATTTGCCAGTATATTTCAAAACACTGCAGATGTCTGACTCATATATGAAAAGTTTTTCTTTGATATAAATTAAAATTTTTTCACCAGTGCCTTACCCAAATACTAACTTATGTTGAAGATGAGATTTTTATTTGAAGACACCAAAAGTTTCTGGCTGGTTAAGGAGATACATAAGTCATGTTCTTCTGGTTTGGGTCAAAAGCTTGATTTTCATTTCTCAAGGAGACACCCTAACTTTCCTGTATGTTTTTAAACTCAGGTTGGTCATTGTTTCAGGGAAACTTATCCGTTCCATATTTTTTATCAAGCTAACTTTGCCACACTTGCCATTCTGCTCAGATCAAACTTTAAAAAAGAAAAAAAGACTATCAAAATTCTGTAATGGAATGACATACGGATAGTACATCAGCATGAAAAAAATTTTAACAGAAATCTCCTTACAAGTTGAAGTACCTACAGAGTTTCTTCATTTAGAGGAACTAAATTATTTCTAAAAACACTAACAGATTTATAATATGAAATAATATTCTATAATTAGTAAAATCGTTACATAAAACTAGAGAAGTTTTCAAAAAGTATTCTAGAAAAACAGAATTGCGTTAACTTCCTCTATGTTATTCATTGACTTGTGTAGAAACACCTTCTTTTCATTATTGATATAATGGGAGGAGAATTAATTGTAAAAGGTGATGACTATTGATTACTTAATGGAACATGATAGTGTCAAGAAAGGCTAAAGTGAGTTTTTTCTGTGCCCTCCTTTGCAACACAACCCATTATCCAGCAGTGGAAATTGTTTTGTAGTTCTTATTAATATTTAATAGGCAGGAGGCAGGCTGGATGTAGGCTACGGAATTGCCATAGGCATAGGTTGTAATAGGCTGTAAGAGTGTTTTAAATCTATAACAGAGTAATAGATTTCCCTATGCTTAGATTATTTATAAGCAGGACAACAAGCCCTAATTACCCTTTTGCGATCTCTGAGCAACGACGACCTGATGAAAACACCTAGTAGGCATGTTGAAGTGATTCATGCCCCCAAGAAGTCTCTCTAGGTTGGTAAGCTCTACGCGATAAGACTGAGTATTTTCCAGTGTGGGTCTCAATTTCAGTCCTTTTCTTCCTTGCCACAAGCAAGAGGGGCTGACGGGCTAGTTCAACAGGGTAGCAAATCAGCAAAAGGTGTTAACTGTGTATAACACAGTCGTCATCCTTGGGGTGATGTTATGTACTGGTGTCTCTCAGGCTAACCCCTTGTCACATGTCAGGATCTTTCTACTTCAGCTCACTTAAAAAGGAAACAAGGGGTTTTGAAGATAGCTGTTGGGGAGATATGAATGCGAGTGTTCTTAAGGAGAAGGACTTTTGAAGCTGACTTCACTGATATGGGCTGTGATTTCTGAGAGGACAATGCCAGTTTCTGTAGTTTATTGACCCTTGTTATTAATTTTCCAAATGACTAGGTAATTTTTTCAGTACCATCAGTTTTTTAAAAAATATGGTAAATTCAAAATGAGCTAAATTTCTCAAGACAAGACATAATCTTGGGATTTATAAAAGAAACTAAGATCAGATATCTATCATCCCAAATAATGCACAAAATTAAATAGATTGTGAAGAAATATCAATTGTTGAATCAACAACTCCAAAGAATTTTGAAAATGTGTTTAAGAGAATGAGTTACTTCATAATATATCTGGATTATTTATAATTACTTGTCTAGAATAGGTTCCATAAGAATAAAGGTTTAGCCTTGTAAGCAAAATGTATTCAAGGGAATAGCCTCCTATTAACATATTAAGCTTGTTCTTTAAACCAGTAAATGAAAATGACCCAGAGGTCTCATTGTAATTCTATGTTAAAGTGAAAAAATTTAGTTTTATTCCCAATCTTAGGCTGTGTGTAAGTTGCTTCAATTTATTAAGTCTCTAGGTATACATTCTCGTTCTGATATGCAGTGGAGAATTTCAAATTACCAAAAGTTAGTACTGAGAAATGCACTTGTGCTGATTTTTATTTTTTGTTTTTGTGTTTTTTAAATTTTATTACTATTATTATTATTTTAACAGCCTTGATCTTTATGAGGTATAACGGTGGATCTTCTTAGATGCTTATATTTTGGTTGTTTTGTTGTTGTTATTTATTAGTTTGTTAATACCACCTGCTAGAAATGATTTAGTAAAACATACTTAGTACATTTTTAGCAAGTTTGTTAGTCATTCTTTAACCATTCATTTAAAGAAGGCTCAAGGATTAAAAGGTATAATGGATGTTGTGAAATAGGAAGAAAATGTTCAAATGGAATGGGAACTGGGGAGGGATATGAGGGAAAGGAAAAGACAAACAAGAGAATAAAAAGGAAAATGGAAACTAAGCTTTTGAAAATAAGTAGGAGAAGAGAGGTTGAAGGGAGGGGAGGAGAATGGGAAAAAAGAAGATCAAGTTATGTCATGTACAGATACAAATTTCATATGAATGTAGGTTATCATTATATATATATATCTAAAATGGACCAATAAAATTCATTCAAAAAATAAAGAAGGCTCAGATTAGAATTCACAGATTTTTCCAACCTCTACTCCCAAAATGATAAAAATAATTAAATCAAGACTTTCTCCAAAGTGCTTAATAAAGCAGGAAAGATACTTTATCAACTTTAAATAAAAATGTAAATAACATTTATAACTTCTATGCCTTTTGATATTACAGAGAAGAATTTTTATAGCCTGTGTATGTAGTATATAATCTATTATTTTTAGGAGTGAGAGCTACAAACCTTAACTTTCCTTTACTTAACAAAACTTTACTTTTCCTTCCCAATTTTATAGCGCAGCAGCAGTTTTGGGCATTTTGATCATTTTCGGAATAACTCCACTTCAAAACCAGATGATTCAACTGAGGTTAGTATTTTATTCTATTTTTATGACAATTATATAAACATTAAATAAAACTTTTTGAGGATAATGTCACTTTTGCAAAGCATAGTAAGGTGAATAAATATATTTGCAAATCATAGACATATATTTTTTAGAATAACAGACAATTATTTACTTATTATTACATGAGGGACATTAAGGTAAAACCTATGTCAGAAGCCTAGCAGATATTGGCAGAATATTAGTTGAAGAGTGTTTCAATTCAATAATGGCAGTATAATTTCAAAGTTCTTGAGTATTTGCCTAAATAAACATCATATGTAAGTTGCATATACATGCATAATTGTATAATATGTAACTGATCTAAATTAAAAAATGATCAAGTATTTTGATTCTAAATTTTTTAAGGTAAGCATATGACTATTCAAATATACTTTTATCTTTCTACTACAGCATCAAAATGTTTCATTAGTGACTATTACATTCACACCTTTACACTATCCACACTTTAAGTATATATTAAGAAAATCTTCCCATAACTTTAAATTTACACAGTAATATAATACCAATATTTATGTCTAATCGAGTATTACTATAAAGCGAGAACAATTATAACATTTTACTTACTTGTAACATAGGAACTATTTTTATGTCTATTTTATCATTGAAGAAATACACTTGCTACAATGAGTAAAATTACTTTTAAGTTACAGAGTTAATAAAAACCTCTTGTCTGACTCCAAAAGTTGTGATTCAGTGATACTACCTCATAAACTAGGTGATTAATGAAAGGAGCAATTAATGTAATAGCAATGCTATATATTGAGAAAAATTGAAAATACAGTACATATTTATCATGTAAACTGATTCAGCAAACTCCCAAGTGATTTTTTTTTAGGAAAATAGTTTGTAGGTTGCAGATATTATGCTCACATACTTATATGCATCTATCTATATTTTAATTGTTTTAAATTTCAATAAGGTATATTCTGGACAAAAGAAATAGAAATAAAAATACATTTATAATTACTTCATAAATATCTCCATTTCTATATATACATATTCATGTTTATTTATGTCCCTGTTAATTCATATATCTATATATATATATGTATTTTTAACTAATCTAAATATTTATAGATGGACAATCTTATACACAGTCCATCAGCATTAACATAATTCTAAGTAATATACTTAATATTACTGAAAGAGAGAGAGGCAGAGATAGAGACAGAGACTTTTTTATTTCAAATTTGCATTTTGTATAATCTTTTAACTCTCCATAATCATACCTACTATATTATATGGTCACTTAATTTATAATTGTAGAGTCGATCTGTAAAAGTAATTCAGACCTATTCAGGTTTGCTGATGAATTATAATGGCAAAAAATTCGTGAAAGAATATAGTTAACCTGATAAAGTCATTAAGCACATTTTTTTTTAGAAATCCATCATTCATTCTCCATCTATTCAACAAATATCTATTCCATAATAACATTTCCATCATGCACTTAGGAATTAATACTTTTTTTTTGGAGGGGTACCGGGGACCGAATTTGGTACCTTGTGCTTGTGAGGTAGGCAGCAGAACCACTGAGCTAAATCCCAATCAGAATTACTATTGCAATCACAAATGAACATGTTTACTGCCTGAAGCCTGGACTCTAGTGAGGCAGAAACATCTTAAAAAGGCACCGGGAACAACAAAACCATAAATGAATATCTAAATAAAATTGTGGCTCAGGCTATGATGAACAGTATAGAAAAAGATGTTCAAATTTATAATATAAGGAAATAGTTTTTTTTATTTTCTGTAAATATTGATAGAAAAAATAAAAGTTGTAGTATGTATTTGAAGCTTGTGTAATGTTACGTAAACAGTTATAATAAAATAATGCACTTTCACATTTATTTTAGTAAAGTAATTTTGTAATGAAGATATAAAGTAAGTAAATAGCAAGAAGAGAAGAAAAAGGCTATTTTTAAAGTGCTTTGAAATCATATTTTATTCAGAGCTTTTGAATTAAGCAAAGAATCTTTGTATTTATAACCTTGAATGTAGAGATTAATAAAGTGTGATGAGGGTTTAAATTCCATTCGTATTTATCATAGGCTATTTGGGGTAAGATATGAAGCAAAACATAATATTGATTAATAATCATGTTAACTATGTGTTTAAACTTTCATATTAAGATATTCAAGTTCACTAAAGAGATGTTTTTCATCATTTTATATTCAGGGAATAACTGGCTGTACTTCTATCCAAATGTTGGGCAGTGCTAAACTACATGGCCTTCAAATTTCACTTCTGGCAAATTTGAAATAGGTCGAGTAACCCAAATATGTCCTCCAAGAAATTTTTTCAGAAAAAAATGCTGAAAAATTCTACATAAGGGGTCACATTTATTCAAAAAAACTATAGAGCAGCAGTTATGTACTTGGAAGTATTTAGACACTCAGAATAAAGAAAATAAATATGGTTTCCATTATCATGAATCATACAACAAATGCAAGATACAGGCAATGACTGAATGAACAGACAAACATATTATTGAGTACTGTTAAGTGCTTAGGAAAAAATAAATTAGGTTAAACAAAAAGGATGTTTGGACAAGTGTGAAGAATGATCAATTAGAAAATTTCTGTCTTGTTACATGAGATGTAAATAGAAATTAATGACTGAAGGCAGAAATTTGTGGATATTTAAGGAATCTAAGGCAAAGGCAGGTACATACATTAGTGAGAAACTGATATCCAGCCTTGGGGTTATCCTGTCAATGCTTTAGTACAGTTGTTTTCAAACTTTAGTGTGTCTCTGTGTGTCACAATCACCTGAAGAGCTTATTAAAATACAAATTGTCTCCCAAAATACCAATATTTTGTTGACCCAAGGATCACACTATCAAAATCACTGTTGTAATCAGCAAAGGAGATCTAAGAATTAGCTAAAAGTGAAATAATGATGATATTTTATTTCATATAGAATCCATGAAATATATATAATTTTATAATGTATAATATAATAAATTATACCTTGTTATACTATTTATGTCATGTTACTGAATTTTGTGTGCTATGAAAACTTCATGTTTTATTCTGTTAAGTGGGAAGTCATTGTTTTAACAAATTTCTTAATAAGTAATAGGCAGAACCATCCAAAAAAGAAAATTAATAAGGAGAACATAGGAATTCCATGAAGATTGCTGTACTGATAAATGGAACCACATAATATTTACTATTGCCTGAAAATGTGAAAAATGTGCATGTGTTCTTACTTCACAAGAAGAAAAATTGCAAGTTCTCAATTATTTTAACTAACTTGAAAACTTCTTAAAACTATGTCCATCTTGATTTCTATCAAGAGGCTATTTTAGCTCTCCAATAAAATATCTCCAGTGTATGTAGACACACTCACTTGTTATGAGTGGCATTCACTTCTATTTTCTCATCTGAAAAACAAGAACAATTAAAATGCTTCTTCAAAAAAGCTATATTTAAAAATTACCGTAACTCTCAAAAATAATTTTAGGTGTAAGGGTGGGGAAAATTATTAAGTCGTACTCGCATAGCATGTACAATGTTCTGGGTTAAAACTTCAGAACTGAAAAAAAAAGAGAAAATATCCTAATTGTTATTCTCTCAGGTAACCAACCAGGTAACCAGGTACATTTAAAAATACGTATCTGCACTTCCACCAACAATGGAGAAGGGTTCCTTTCTCCCCACAACCCCGCCAACATTTGTTATTGTTTGATTTCTTTTTTTTGGGGGGGTACTGGGGATTGAACTTGTGTCCTTGCGCTTGCAAGGCAGGCCACCGTACAACTGAGCTATATCCCCCGCCCTTGTTTGATTTCTTGATAGCAGCCACTCTTTGCGGGGTGAGGTGTAATAATGTTGTTTTCATCTGCATCTCTCAAATGACCAGTGATGTGGAACATTTTTTCATATATTTACTTGCTGCTTTTACTTCTTTGCCTGAGAAGTATCTGTTCATTTCAGATGTCCATTTTTGAGTTGGGTCTTTATATTTGGGGGGCCTGATTGTTTTGAGTTCTTTATATATTCTAGATAATAGTCCTTTGTCTGAGGAGCACCTGGTAAAAATTTTTTTCCCACATTGTAGGTTGTCTCTTAGTTCTGTTGATGGCTTCTTTTGCAGTGCAGAAGCTTTTTAATAAGTTGAGATCCCAGTTGTTGATTCTTTCTGCTAGTTCCTGTGCTACCGAGGATTTGTTCATTGTTGGTGGGAGTGCAGAGTGGTGCAACCATTAGGGAAATCAATATGGAGATACCTCAAAGAGCTGGGACTAGAGGTTCCATTTGACCCAGCCATCCCTCTGCTGGGTATCTTTCCAAAAGAATTAAAAGAATCATATCACAGTGATATATGTGCACCTATGTTTATAGTGGCACAGTTTGTAAGAGCTAAAATGTGGAAATAGCCCATTTGCCCATCAGCTGGAAACTGGATAAAGAAGATGTGGTTTTTCTATAAAATGGAATACTACTCAGCCATAAAGAATGAGAAAATAGATTAGTTCATTGGAAAATGGATGCATATTGAGGATACACTCCTAAGTGAAATAAACAAGTCACACATGTGTAAATACCAAATAGTTTCTCTGGTGTGAATAAACTGTAATAGTACATAAGATCCTAATGACATAACTGACATTGTGAGATGGGAAGAAAAGGGCTCAACGTGTAGGGAAAGTGGGAAGGGTAGGGGAAAGGTAATAAGGGAAAAGAAAAAAATGAGACAAAAGGAAAAAATGGAAATAAAGTGTTTGTAAATGGGGGGGTGAAGGAGGGGAGGGACAAGGGGAAAAAATGAGAACCAAGACCTGTCATGTAAAGGTACAAGATCCCAATAATGAATGTAACTGTACTGTACACCTAAAATGTACCAATAAACTCAATTAAAAAATAAATAAAGGAACATTAAAAAAATAAATAAAAATATGTATCTTGGGGCTGGGGATTTAGCTCAGTATTTCTGCAGCCTGCCTCACAAGCACAAGAACCTGAGTTCAATCCCCAGTACAAAAAAAAAAGTATCTTGTACAGATTGTTTGATTTTAGAGGCCGCAACAGTGTGTTTAGGAAGTCTGTAAATTGGCAATATTCTAACAATGTTTTCAAATCACTGTATTTATTACTTTATCATTTTGTCTTCCTTAAAAATTTCTAAACCAGGTACATGAAAGAAAACCCATAAATGATAATGAAGAACAAAACAAAACTTCAACTAATGGAGGAGCTCTGAGTAAGAAAATGAGAGCTATTTCATGGACAATGAAGAAGAAAGTGGGGAAAAAGTACATCAAAGCCCTTTCTGAGGAAAAGGTAGGAGCAATTTGTCAATTATTTATATATTTCTATTAACTTTTTCTGAAAATATTCAATGACTTTTTCTTGTAGATATGGGTATAAGTTTTTAGTACTTTATGAAGCAACCCTTAACAACATATTTTCTCCCTCAGTCATCATGTCCAAATATTGGGTGGGGGAAAATATTATTACTGTCATTTTTTTTGTTTAATTTTAGGAAAGCATCTCACAGAGTTGTTAAGTTGCTGGTACTAGGCTCAAATATGAACCTCCTGTCTCTGCCTCCCACAGTGCTGGGATTATGTCATGCACGGCCACATCTAGTTTATTGCCACCATCTTAATAGAAGAGATTGAAAGTCAGAAAGATCATGCATCTAGCATATGAAGAACAATGTGTAACTTATGTTGTAGAAAGCATCACTAATACTTTTTATTGCAAATAATATTCCATTTTCTAGATGAACCACAATTTACATGTCTTTTAAATATTTAGTAGATATTGGGGTTCTTCCTATTTTTTGGAATTCTGTATATATGCTGCTGCAAATTTTTCTGTTTGTTTTTTTTTTTTTGTGTGGAAATGTTTTGTATTCCTCTTGGGCATATGGTAACTACATATTTCATATTTTGAGAAATTAGTCATCTTCCAAAGCACCTGCGTCATTTTTACATTACTCTAGAAAGGTATAAAGAATTCCAATTTGTCCACATTCCTGCCAACATTTATTATTATCAGGGTATTTTTGTTTTGGTTTTTAATGCTAATTATTTAAAAGAGGTGAAATGGAATCTCATTGTGATTTTCACATACATCCTTATGACTAATGATGTTAAGAATATTTTCATGTGCTTGTCCATAACGATGTCTTTTTTGAAGAAGTGTTTAAATTTACTACCCATTTTTAAATATTTGACTTCTTATTGTTCAGGTTTGAATATCATATATTCTAAATATGTTTCTATCAAATACATAACTTGCAATATAAATCATCTTTCACAATACTGTGAATTTTATTTTTACTTTCTTCTAATCCAGTTTACCCATTTTTTTAACTTTTGTTACATGCTTTTTGGCACACTAAGAAACCATTACTAATCATAAGGTTTGCTGCTGTGTTTTCGTCTAAGAGTTTTATAATTTCACCTCTTAAATTATGGTGTATGACCCATTTTGAGTTTTCTATGTTTTGTAACAGAAATCCAACTTTTTTTTTGTATGTGACTATGTAGTTGTCCCATTTGTTGAAAAGACAGTTCTTTCCCCATTGTGTTGTCTTGCTACCCTCTTTTAAATTCAATTTACCATGAATACTGTTACAAAGTTAAGGATCATAAAATATATGGGCTAATTTATAAAGTCTCGATTCTATTCTGTTGATTTATAGTCATATGCTCATTGTCTTTTTTTTTCCTCATTGAGTTTATTGGTACATTTTAGGTATACAGTACAGTATTCATTATTGGGATCTTGTACCTCCACATGACAGGTCTTGGTTCTCATTTATTCCCCTTGTCCCTGCCATCTCTTCACCCCTCCTCCCCTCCCCATTTACAAACACTTCATTTCCATTTTTTCATTTTCTCACATTTTTTTCTTTTCCCTTATTCCCTTTCCCCTACCCTTCCCACTTTCCCTACACCTTTAGCCCCTTTCTTTCTATTTCACATTGTCTATTGCTCATTGTCTTTTAATATCACTTCTACATGACTTCCATCTCCAGTACTGCAACATCATCAGTGGTAATCTCTGTATTGTCAAATACAATGATCACTTTTTCTTTGTCTTTCTTTTCAACTGGCTTTGACACAAGTGTTAATATTGTTATATGAGAAGTATTCTCTTTTCTTGGTTCCTAAGACTGACCATTCTTTTGGAATTTCTTCTTCATAACTTCCTTTCTTTTCTTTTCTTACTGTAACTATTGAATCTTTTGCTGGTTTGGTCCTAAATGCCATACTCAATTTATCATCTTCTCTTATGTGAGAAGTATTCCTCTACTTTGTTTTTCACAATTATGTATAATTGTGTAGTGTAGTTATATATTATATTAAAGTATAGTATATTTGGATAGTATGTTCAAGTATGACTTTGGAGTAGACCTTAAGGAAGGAAGAGAAACACCAAAGATTTATTGAAAGAAATGTCTGCAAAAGATAAAGAAGAGGAAGAAAAAACACAGGCAGGAAAGGTTGTCTGACTGCATTGTAAATATGCCTTATAAAAGGAAAGGAAAGAAGGAAAGTGGATCAGTTAGAGAGAATTTAAGACTAAGAAAACTTCTAAGTTCTAAGAAAACTTTGGCAGGTGGATGGCAAAACTCTGAACCAAAGTGTTCAATTAGAGGAGCCTCATGTATGACTGAATGAGCTCAGATACACCCTCTTAGACACTGGAAAAACACATGGCTTCAGTGAAAATACTATGGTGGACACAGAGTGGGGGATAAATAGAACTTTCAGTGTATTAACTCATTTTCTTTGGCTGATAATACACAATCAGAATCTGTGTAAGTTAATGAGAAAAGTGGTTATTTTGGCTCATGGTTTTGACTCAGGATAAAACAATCTGTCTGGTGATGGCTTGCTTGGTGGCAGAATATCAAGATGGTTCAGGATATCATACAATGAGAAATTGGGACTGTACATATGCACTGTTTGTCTCCTTCTAGTAAAGCCACCAATATTCAATTATGGAGGCTTCACCCTGATGGTCTTAACCAATCCTAATCACCTATTAGAACCCATCTCAAAACACTAAGTTTCTGCTTCTTAACATTTCACAATGTGGATTAAACTTCAACATGATTTTTGAGGAGATAAATCTTATTCAAATCATTACATTCCTTCTTGGTCCTCAATGTTCATGTCCTTCTCATAATGTACCAATTAGTTAATAATGCAGTTTTCTCACAGCAAGAGAACTAAGTGGCACATGTCCATGAACACCACACACGGTCTGCAAAGCTCTTAATGAACTAGCTCTAGTCTGTTCCTCTGAATTTGTATGTCAATATTCTCCTTTCTCTCATGACATTGGTCTGTACAATCCAAGCTAATTCTGAGTTCAGTTATTTTTTCTTATTGTTTCTTTGGCTTAGAAAACTATCTCTAATGCTTCACATAAGTCATATCTCTTATCATTCAGGTCAGTAACTCAAAGAATATATTACTTTACAGTAGAGAGCTTTGGTGACTAATTCATCCAAATAAATCACACTTCATTTTACCTTAGCCCTACTAGCTTATTTTCTCATCTCATGTAGTTTTATTTCCATTATAGCACTTATAATCCTCTGAAATTGTCTTCCTTGTTTACACATGTCCGCAAACACTCTAAATGCACATGAATACACAGCATATGCATGTAAATAACCTAATACACTGTAATACACCTCATTCAGGAAAGGGATAATTTACCCTATTACATTGTTTACCACGAACTCTCCAGTTTCTAGAACAGTGCTAAGTACCTAAGAGGTGTTCTATAAAGCTGAATTAAATGACTGAATGAATAAATGAAAGAACAGTTAGAATCAAAGTAAGTGTACATTATACATATTTTTCCAAAGTTTTATCAATGCTTAGAAATGCTCAAAATGAGCATATTGAATTACATTCTGATGAATATTAAATTTGCAGTCTTTGTCCAAACCATCTACATATGGAAAACATTTGAGATTTTTTCAAGAAAGTGTAATTTGTTTTGAAATTGTCTGTCTTTTCTAATTTTATGCAAGATTTGCTTTTCACTTGACTAGGTGGTAAGCACAGTATGAGATTTGTAAAGCTCCTTAGATAAGCTTTGCTTTAGAATTGCAAAGTGAGCATGTTTTATTCATATCAAGTGATCTGGGAGGGTGCAAAGAACTGACATGAAACAACTGTGCAGAGTTTAAACCTGTAGTATCTGATCTCAAAGGATTAGTAATGGCGGGGAATAGATGAGAAGGAGAACATGAATAAGAAGAGGTGCTTTAACAGATAAAGCTCAGATGTCAATAAATCTAACATTTCTAATTAAATAGCCTTGATAGGATATTCGCCCTAATTTGCAAAAATAAGCGTTCATAAATTCAGTCGAATTCCACAATGTGAAATGTCTCATCTAAGGGATTTTTCCAAGTACACTGTAAAATGTTTCCCTAGAAATTGAAATAAAGATTAATGACACTCATATTTTATGCTGATGCATTCCTATTTTATTTCTAAAATATGTCTTGTTTGCTAAATCAATGCACACAGTGAACATCTCCATGGAAATGTGCTCTATACACTTAACCTCTGGTATGTTTTTCTGAAGGATGGCGGTGATGGAAAGGATGCTCTGCCGTGTCGGAACAGTGACCCCATGATGGGGACCCACACAGAGAAGGTCTTGCTTAAAGCCAGTGACTCCCTGGATAGTCTCTACAGTGGGCAGAGCTCATCAAGTAAGGCTAATGAATAAAGGCCACAATCCTAGCTGTGAGGTCTGGGTTAAATTAATTAAAAAACAACAAATCTGCCCCTCTGTGGCTTGTATATAAAATTAGTAATGGGGTTCCAGCTATTTGATTAAAAAATAGTAAAATGCATTGAATTTACATGGTAGATGCATTGAATCTACACAGAGTTACTACTATTTAAAGCAATATATAAAATATTTGAATTATACGGTTTAGCAAGTTTTAGTACCATCATGAGCCAAGTTCTTGGGGCTCCGTCTCCAAATAGTTGTGCTGGATAATTAAATTTGTTGTTTGAAATTAAAAAAGGCCAGATGTTTCCAATACTTGTTACTGCTATTTTCCTATTTGATATAGAATAGTTATTGTGAAAAAAATAATCTAATGCAGACATGTGAAGGATGTATTTTTATGTGTATGGAATTCAAATTTCATAAGTATTCATTTCTGCCAGAAGTTTTAAAATTCTAAATAATGATTTGTATTATGGGGAAAAGTTTATTAACTAGAATGTACCATAACCACAAGACTGGGTTCATAATGGAAGGGAGGGTATGAGGTAATGCTCTCCCAATTAATCTTATACAATTTAATTCTTGAGATTGAGATTAGACACTTGCTTTTCTAAGAGTTGGGGATGTAGCTCAGTAGTACAGCACCTGCCTGGCAAGCTAGAGGTCCTGAATTTGCTCCCCAGTACAAAAAACAAAAGCATAATCTAGCATAATGTAGTACAACTTTTTTTTTCTTTTACACAAGTTCATAAAGAATGTAGAGCTTCTCAAAGTATCTTTACCCAACTTCCGTAATGAATGATAGTGAAACCTGGACTCTTCCCTCCTTGAACAGAGCACCAGAAAGCCAGCTTCTGGGGGAAATGGGGAGGCACTGAAGATTGGTGAGAAAGAGGCGTTTCTCCTGGGTACTATTCTTGCCTGCCTTGGGCAAGGAGCAACAAAAAGTCACTCTCTTTTCTTTCTGAGGTTCAAGATAAAAAAAGAAAGAAAATCAGAAAACAAAGATTCAGAGCAGTATTATGTGTGGGAGCAAGTTTTAAAAGTCCAGTTTGGTACAGTTTCAAACTTCTTGGGAGAGTTCAGACATTCCAACACACTTCCTGCTTCCTTCACATTCACAGTACAAGCAAATGTATCATATTTAATGTGCAGAGAACTTGCCTCAAAATGGCCATTAGAAGACAGGAGGAGTGGGGAATTTTTGCTACAATTATAGTCAGTTGTCAAGAACTTTATAATGTCACGCTTTAACCGTTTGTCATCAACAGCACTCAAAGACCAAGCTCTCGCTATCAATTTCTGTCTGGTTTTACACTTATGAAGTTATACACTGTAGCTTGGTAAGAGTTAAACCTACACCTTTCTCCTCTTTAGGAAGTGTCTATTATTAATATACTGTGTGCTGGATCAGGTCAGAGACCAAAATGAGACTTTGATTTAGTGACTGAAGGGACAATAGCCAGATTGGTAAGAAAGAGGTTTGAAGTAGCTCAGAGGACAGTAATCACTAACAGAATGTGACTGGGTGTTAAAACAAGACTGGAATCCATTGCTTCGGTGTCCCAACAGTGGTTCAGAATATAAATGTCAAAAGAGCTTCATAACTGTTAACCTCTGCTTTCTTCAGGTGGAATAACAAGTTGTTCAGATGGCACTAGTAACCGAGACAGCTTTCGCCTGGATGATGACAGCCCCTACTCAGGACCATTCTGTGGCCGTGCCAGAGTACACACAGATTTCACGCCAAGTCCCTATGACACTGACTCCCTCAAAATCAAAGTGAGCCAATATTACTTCTTCTTTCTGGATAGTTTGTCAAATGCTAATTTACGATCTGTTTCAAGAAGTAAAGAAATAAGGAGGGTTGTGTGTTCTTCCCAACAGTTAAAATGGGGAATTGTGGTGATAGCAGCAGAATTTTTAATAAAGCATAGGTAGGGTACTAGAGATCAATCTTCTCAGGCTACCAGCAGAAGTAGCTGTTAATTATATCATACAATTTCAGAGTTTATTGAGGAAAAGGAATTATGTTCTTTTTCTGAAACCTGAAAGTCTCTCAGGTTGCTGGAGGTGCCCGGCTCTGCTAGATAGTTGCTGGGAAAAACAAAACAAAACAAAAATGGAGCTGAAGAGAAGGAAAGAAGATGGAAATATCAAGACATCAAGGAGGAGCACAGCAAAACAAAACAAAGGTCAGGAACTATAACATAGCTGGCTTGGCAACTCTTGATCTTTTTACATTGGTTGCCTTGATTAACCACAGATCTTCCTTACAATGATACCCTGTTTGGGGTGAATTCTTCTTTGCTTTATCTGCTGTGTTCATTTTTTTTTCCATTGAATTTATTGGTACTTATTAGGGATACAGTACAGTTACATTCATCATTGTGATCTTGTACCTTTACATGACAGGCCTTGGTTCTCATTTTTTTCCCCTTATCCCTGCCCTCCCTTCACCCCCTCCTCCCTTCCCTATTTACAAAAACTTTATTTCCATTTTTTTTGCTTTCTCAGATTTTTTTCTTTTCCCTCATTTCCTTTCCTCTACCCTTTCCACTTCATTTTTATTTTTGCAGAACAAACTACCCCAAACTCCTGGGCTTCAAACATTGTGACTGTTTCATAGTTTTTTTTTTTTTTTTTTTTTTTTTTTTTTTTTATTTAAATATTATTGTTTCTATATGTTTTATTTTTATTTTTTTTTAATTGAGTTTATTGGTACATTTAGGGATACAGTACAATGAATGTAACTGTACTGTTTCATAGTTTTTATAAGAACACAAAGTTGGGTGTGGGTCAGCTAGGTTCTCTGCCTAAGGACTCACCTGGCTGAAATTAAGTTGTCAGATTGATAACTCACGTGCAGTTTGGGGTTGTCCTTCAAAGTCATTTAGCTGTAGATAGAATTCAGATCACTGTGGGTGTGCAAATTAGGCCCTGGGCTTCTTGCTGGATATAAACTAGAGGTCATTCTGAGGCTTTAGATTCCACCAGCCATGGTCCTCTCCGACAACATGGCAGTCTACTTTTTCAAGACTATCGAGAGAAAAGCTGGCACATTCTTCAGTATTTTTTTTAAAAGGGTCGTCACATGATTAAGTCAGATGCACCAGGATAACTTTCCTCTTCATTCACTCAAAATCAACTAATTTGATGCATCAATTACATCTGCAGAGTTTCTTCTGTCACAAAAAGTAACATAATCATGAGTTTGAAGCCCACCATTTTGGTAGCCCTGGGCACTACAAAGAGACAGGGCCGATTACAATAGCACAAATAGAAGAAGACTTCATGCTAAAATATTTTAGACATGTTAAATCATTGTTTAATATCATAAAGCATTGTAAGTAAAAGAACATGAACTATGAATTTTCTATACAATTAGCACTAATCCAATGTTAGTGAATTATGATATGAAGTATCGATGCCTTTTCATACTTAAGGCACTCCATTTTCTTATTTTCTTTTATGCTACTGAATCAGAGGAAAGAGAAAAAAACATTTTCCCCCACAGTTAGACTGTTCTCTGAAATGATTTGAAGTTGAAGTTCAAGCCTTGGAGATGCTTGCATTCTAGAACTGACTTTGAAGGGAAGGCAGTGAAAGGAAATGAACGCGATGTATTTTGACTCAGGGTTGTTTTTTAACTTCCTTATAATACAATGTCCGTGTTCCGCTGCTGGTGCTCCTGAGCTGATTTTTGTAGAGCTATTACAGTGCATAGCAAGAATCCCATAGTTAGCAATTGAAACTTCAAATATTATTTCTCGCAGTGAATTTATCTAAAGTGAAACTGAGTTTTTGCTCGAGTGACTTGTGAGTCTTCTGGAATGTATAGATTTACAAGCTACAGTATCTAAGTTACAAGTTTGCAAGGTTTAAGGATAATAGGAAGGATTCAGAAAAGGCCAACCAAACCTAGTAACTTTCTGTATCTTTTGGGGCATTTCCTAGTGAGTTTAGTGGGTAGCATCTGCCCTATAATTTAATTTCCTGTAGTAAAAGACAAAAAAGAAAAAAAGAAAGAAAGAAATGAGACTAACAGCTTAAAGGTCCAGACAAACACACGATCATAAATCAGAAATATCACATCATTCAACCACTTTAAATTGTAATATTACAAATAAATTTGTGTTTTGTACAAATTATACATTAACAAGTCAGCAGAAAAAATATATTTTATTACCACATTTAATGCTGTGTTGTTGAAGGGTAGATCCTTAAATGTGGCACAAATATTAGAATCTGTAACATCCTGTCTGGGGTAGACATGCCCAAGACTCAAAGGCACAACGAGTGTACTCTTAAACACAAATCCTTATTTGCATAGAACTGTTTTCTTTACCAAGAAACAACCAAAGGGGATTTTCTAGTTTTGCCAGTAATTCGTAGCATGTAGCAAAATATAGTCTGAGATGTGAATAAACAAAATAATGCTGTTTTTGAACCATGTCAATGTGCTTTATTCATACTTCAGTGCAAACTTTTTGTGGTGCTCAATCTAAATATTATCTCTTCTTGATAAGAAAAGCATTAAGAACTAAGTAGCACAACGGCACACACATACTGTTGATACATATTTGGTGAGTTCTGCATACTTTCAGTATTTTATATAGATGAAATAGAGGGATTTACTTTATGATGAAAATGAATTCTGTTGGATGAACTAGAATCACAGAGCCACAGACTTCTTTCTCTTTCTGTTGTCCAGCAGAAAAGCACCTCCAAAAATAATAATAATTTATAAATGAAAGGAACATAATGTTTAAGTTCAGGCAACTTGGGCTTGAATTGTCATTAACTTTCCACAAACTTTTGAGAAGTCATTCACTATCTCTGCTTCTTTTGCTGAAATATTTAAAGTAATAAAGTGCTATGTATCTAAGGTGTGCTGTGAATATAAAATGACAGTGTATTCAAAGTTGTTGTGTAAGCTATACTGTGCTCTACAAGAATGTTACACTGATATAACAAAAATGAAAATGTGCCACTGTTTCTATGTAAGCTCTTCTTCAAGCATTTAGAAGGTTTTTTTATTATTACTGGAAAATAATTTCTTTAAACAAGTGAACTCAGATCTATTATTGATATCACTGAACCTGTTTAGCATAAGGTACTAATTACTCTGATTTTCAACCATTCTTTCTACCAATCTTCATAGTAGTACACTGCTTTGAAATCTGATTTGTATGTGTTTATGTCATTGCCTTTAGAAAGGAGACATCATAGACATCATCTGCAAAACACCAATGGGGATATGGACAGGAATGTTGAACAATAAAGTAGGAAACTTCAAGTTTATTTATGTGGATGTCATCTCAGAAGAGGAAGCAGCCCCTAAAAAAATAAAGACGCACAGAAGGAGTAAAAGAGAAAAACCTACGACTCTTCAAACATTCTTAGAGAATATTCACCTTCAGGTTAGCCAATCTTTGGCCTACTTTTGGTGGTGTACAGATGGAATCACTGATGAGAGTGGATCAGTGTTTACATAGTATTATTTAAAATACAAGACTTACAACAAGGAAAATCTATTTTCCTAGAACAGCTCTTATTTCTCTCTTATCATTTTTATTATGCAAAGGCAGGTCTTGATATAACATCTCTTGGACTAAACCCTAAAGGTACTTAGCAGTGACAGTAGAGATTAATGTTGAGAAAGTGCAACGAAAAATGAAAAATATCTAGGAGAATAAAAGAACAGGGGAAAATGTCTAAATGAGAAAGAGAATATAAAGAATAAAGTAAATCTAGAGAAGGAAAAGTGAAAATTATATTTTCCATAGAGCAGAGCTCAAAATCAAATCAGAGAAGATAACTAAATACGATCATTACAACAGTAATCATTAAGCCTCATGATAATTGTGTTTGGAATACTACGTCATCTGTTTTTATAATCTATGTTTCATATTATATTAGTAAAATTTTTATGAAATATCTATCTTCTTAAAAGATATGTACATACAGGCCGGGCGTGGTAGTGCATGCCTGTAATCCCAGCACTTGGGAGGCTGAGGCAGGAGGATCACTGTGAGTTCAAGACCAGCCTAGGCTACATAGTGAGTTCCATCCAGGTCAGTCTCAACTACATAGTGAGACCCTGTCTCAAAAAAAAACAAACAAACAAACAAACAAAAACAATAGTTTCTCTGGTGTGAAAAAATATAATGGTAAGAAGATCTTAATGATGTGATTGACAATGTGAAATAGGAAGAAAAGAGCTAAAAGTGTAGGGAAAGTGGGAAGGGTAGGGGAAAGGTAATAAGGGAAAAGAAAAAAAAATGAGAAAATGAAAAAATGGAAATAAAGTATTTGTAAATAGGGAAGGGAGGAGGGTGTGAAGGGAGGACAGAGACAAGGGGAAAAAATGAGAACCAAGACCTGATATGTAAAGGTACAAGATCCCAGTGATGAATGTAACTGTATTACTGTATACCTAAGATGTACAATAAACTCAATGAGAAAGAAAAAACAAAACAAATAAACAAAAAAGATGTGCACATACAGTATAGCTCTTTGTGCTCAATTTACATTTTCACAACACATTTCTAAAATTAACTTAGTTGTATTTTAATAAATTTCAAAATTCGTAAAGGCAATGCTAATTAAAGGTTTTTAATTGATTTTTCTGAATTTTCTAGTTAACTATCTTGTCTGTATGTATACTATCTAAGCATCCCAACATTACTATTATTATTATTGTTATTGTATAGCATATACAGAGGAAGTATAATTTTGAATCCTGCATACTTGTTCTTCTGTATCTTATAGAAAAAAATCAGCCTCTGAGGGAGTACATGACTTATTCAAGAACACATCATCATATAGTTAATCAGAATGGAAATTATGGGGTTCCATATTCTAATTCACAGCTCCTGTAGAAAACACTACTTTTTCCAAAGAACTGTCCTTCCTTTTTGTTGTTAAAACAGTGTTGGTAATAGGTCTTCCTGATTACTTAAAACTTCTATACTTTCTCTTACTCAGTTTTAGTAACTAAAATAAATACATTGAAATTATAATCAAGTGAAATGGGAGGAGTTTTTGAGGAAGTTGAAAAAGCATTTAACTTCAGTTTGCATTTTTATTCTGTTAGAGACAAAAGAGGTTGTATAAGTAATACACAGACTAAAATCAAGTATATAAATTTTAAATTAACATATATTAATGCAAATGACAGCCAAAATATATATGCTGAAAAAGGAAGTAAATTTTTTCCAACTTTTTTATGCTTAATAAAGGTTTTAATTGAGTAGTTTGTGGTAGGTTTACATAACGCCTTAACAAAATGTTAAGCCCACTTTGTGTGTAGACTTGTGTCTATTTCAAATTTCTTTTTAAGCAATTCCAAGAAGTTAGTGAAAGTGTATATTTTTGTGATCAAGGAACAGGAAGATATGTAATTCAGTAATATTAGTATCATATACTCTGTTATAGGCACTTCATTGCTAGACTTAAAGAAATTCTAGTTCTGCTGGTTTAGGTAGTTAAGAAGTAACAAAGAGCCAAGTGGAATATATGGTCCAGCTATTAAATTAATTCATAATTTGGCATTGCATAGATTAAGATAATTATGTCTTATTATATCTCATCTTCCAGAAGGTGAGAATCATACAACATACTCTTTTAAATGCCCTAGAGTTCATGTGTGGATAGCTAGTACAAGTCAAATAATGTTAAACAAAGTTATACAGGAATCTCTGGTTTCTATATGCATTTCTATACTTTGTTTAAATCTAAAGAGAACTAAAAATAAGATATTTGAATCTAACTAATTTACATTGCATTAACATACTTCTCTCCCTATAGGAATACACCTCAACACTTTTGCTTAATGGATATGAGACCCTAGAAGATTTAAAGGATATAAAAGAGAGTCATCTCATTGAATTAAACATTGCAAACCCAGAAGACAGAATGAGGTTACTATCAGCTGCTGAAAGCCTCCTTGATGACGAAAGTAAGTGTACACATCTACTCTTTCCCTAGCTGATAATTATGGTTTGAAGTAAAATCATTCTAACCACCCCTGTTTTATTTACTGAGAAACACATAAAACGTTATTTCCATAAAATAAGAACTTTTTATATAACCTTGGAAGAAGTGACTCTAATGAAATCTATAATTGGAGAAAGGGATTTTTTTCCTTATTGGACTGAAAAATGAAAGGACTTTTCTAGGTCCTTCATTTTGATTTTGCAGAACTCTTAATTTATATGCAAATGGATGCCTGCATTCCCAAAGACTGAGGGAGTCAGAGACAAATATTTAGTGACAGCATGAGCTATTAGTGAGAAATGTCACACATGGCTTCTGTAGAACAACACAGAGTATGGCGATAACCTAATGAGCCTTTGTGCCACACAGGAAAATTCATTTCATTACCATATAGTCACATCTTGTGTGTGTTTACTGTACTTTATCAAAATGGTATAATAGCTTGCAAAAATATTCAGCACTCACTTTTACAATCTGAGATGGTTCTCTGTATTTGAAGTATAAACTGGAGACAGAATAATAGCTACAAGTTCATTTATGGCAGAATGCTAGCTATGCCAATGAGAATTGTAAAGATAGAATAGCTTTTATTTTTATAACTACTCATTCAGGACTCACTACTACATCTCTTCAAGCCCCAAACCCTGAGCCTGGAGTGTGCCAATCTATACAGTGCATTTTATAAGGAAAATGGGGTGGGGAGTATGAGGCGTCTCAATTTAAAGATGAGAAAGAAGTTAAATCATTAAATAGAGACTTTTCTTTCAAAACTAATATTAGTAGTAATTATTAATTAGTTTACTTATTTGTGTATTCTGAGTAAAACTTTAGGCAAGTTCTTTATGTTTATCATTTTATTTAGCTCTCCACAGGTCTTCAAGTTAGACAGTACTACCTCCACTTTTAGAATGAGAAATTGGGATAAGTAACTTCTGTAGGCTCAAACTTCTAGTGAATTATAGTTAGGATTGCAATCCAGTGTTTAAAAAGCTATGCAATACTTTCTAAGACTACAAGTAACAGTCCAGATGGAGAGAGAGGAAGAAAGCTGTATTTAGCATCTAGACCTACTGACTTCCTTCACGGGCTATCCTATACTCTCTGTCTCAAATCCTACAAAATTTAGGCATAGCACATGTTTACTATATACTTGCTTCTCATATAGTAGAAATTTATTTACTCTTTAAGAAACTGTTCCTTGCTTTATTCTCACTTGCTTTCTTGTGTTTCCATAGATCATCATCCTTTTTCCCACAGTTTACACATGTACTTGTATGGCTAACTGAACACAAGCAGAACTTATCATTAGACCTAGGCTCTTATGCTCTTTCTTTGAAGCTCTGGTGATGGGGCAATGAATATAATGGGTCTAATTGAGTCACAAAGGTAGAAAAAACTAATCTTCCTAATGTTACCTATAGTAGCTGATTTACTCAACAGTGCCAGCTGCCTAAAACATGATCTTTATAAGTTGATGTGGCAGTATCTCTCAGATAAATAAGGCAGTTTCTCTTACATCTTGTCAGTTCAAGACATTACACCCCACTAAACATTTGGCTACAAAGAAGATTCTGTAGATTTCTTCTATTGATTCATGCTCAGTGCCACTGGCAATACACTTCCAAAGTAAGAAAGAGAGAATATTTTTAAACACTTGCAAAGAATTACTTTCCTTCTGCAGTAGCATACATTTAGGTGTTTTGTCCAATTTATAGATGAGGAAAGAATTCAGAGATGAATTTCAAAGAAGGCCATTAGCTAAATAAATAGGAGAGGTGGGATTTTAAAGGCAGATTGCTATAAAACTCAAAGTTCTGTTTTTCACATAATCAAACTGATTAATATAATAACTGAATTTGGAGATTGAAATCTTCTGTTACTTAAGTTTTCTCAAGGACTTCAATTCAATATTACATCTCAGGCAACATTAATGTTTAAGTGAGAACAAACCCTAGCAACAGCAGAATTCTGAAAAGTGTGAGGCAACTATAGCTGCCTCACAACAGACTTTTTGATAGAAAGCTGAGCTTTCAGTAGTAAAACAGTGCTCAATACGAATCCCCAAAAGAGGATGGGTCCAGGGCCCGAAGGCTGTGCTTACCTCACTTCTGTGTTCTTATCTCTTGCATCACTTGTGTATTTTCTGTTAACAAAAAAAATTAATTTACATTTGATGACAAATTGAGGGGTGGGTATAATTTTTTTAAAAATACATCTGACCCAAAGTCTTCCTTTGCAAATGGGAAAAATAGAGTCAAATTAGCTGTGTGGCTTGTTTAAGCTCATACATCTAGAACTCAGTCTCTTACGTCTGTCTGTCTGAAATATGTACCACCATATCCTGATTTCTGAAAATATAACAAAAGTTTCAAGAATGAAATGAATTTACAGTGTTTGATATATTAAAAGGGACAATTCCAAAAAAATATTTTCCTCCATAAAACTTTAGAAAACTATAATTGAAGGTCAAGAGGAGCTGATCACTTAATAATAATAGCCAATAATATACAAACATAACACACACAGAACCAGATTCTTATAGGTATAAGAAAATGCACATTCGACCAGTGTTATTTAGCAATGCACAACACTGAGATTTTTCTTACTTTAACTATTTGGTCTAAAGTGGCATTAGAATATACATATCAGAAAGATGTATATTGCATGTTAGGCTATTCTGACTGAAAGCAATTTATCTTATATGAAACTGCTTTGCTCAAGAAATAAAGAAGAATGACTTTTATTTGTTGATAAGATGGTGAATTCTGATGATTTTGCATCATGCTGCTGCATGCTTATTTTTATCTATCCTATACTTGGTGAATCACATCTTCTACAACCATGCTAAAGATTGAACACACATCCTTTGTGTTCCTTGAATGATAAATACCTTGAATACATGGTTACATAAAGCTGAGGCATTAAAAAACAAATATACATCATAGAGGTTAAAAGAGCTTTTGTTAAAAAAAGAATGGGATATGCGTAGTGAGCAGGGTTTTATATGTGAATTTTTATTTTGATCATCAAGCAATGTTAATTTGGAGAATTTCAATAAATTCTTAGTTTAAGTTTTCAGGACTTTTACATTAGAAACTTGGAAAATTTTTGCTTTTCTGACCATTCAGTATAAAAGTTTGTTTGTTTTGTTTTTTGTGTACCAGGGATCGAACTCTGGTCCTTGTGCTTATGAGGCAGGTAGCAGAACCACTAAGCCAAATCCCTAGCCCCAGTACAAAAGTTGAGCAAACTGGGGACATGTCTTAAGGATCAGAGTCAAAATTTGAAAATAATGTAGGAAAGACCAAGTCTCAAGTGAGTCTTTAGTACATTTAGAGAAACTAAGAGAATGGGAGATGAGATAGGGAAAATGCAGAAATATAATATTTAGAACAAGCAGTTTTTCTATTTTGTTAGCCTGAGATAGATAGCATTGTTCCCACTTTGACCTTGAACATGTAAACCGGATTATACTTTTTAGGTCACTGCTTGGCAGAGGTAAAGATGATTCTCCAAAAAACTGATAGAAAGGCCGGAGTCTGGTGTTAGAGATGATCACAAGATTACCGCTAAAGAGAGATAATGACTTTGGGGTTCTGCAAGCCTAGCAAGACAAGCAGCATGATGCAGAATTTGCTCCCACATTGCACTGGAACTAGGCAGAATTAGGACATTGGCTCCCTCAGCTGGGAATCTTGATAAGGTTAAAGAGAAGAATATTTGGTAAGACCCAGCGCTTGAAAGAGAAAAGGGCCAAATCTGTTTATTTTGTGCATATTAGGGTTTCTATATTTATTATATGACTTTAAAAGTCATTTATTTACTTTAGGAGTAAATATTTCCAGCAAGTAAAAAAGTGAATAAAGAATGTGTGTACATGTGCCTGTGTGTTTGCATAAACATAAATTTTAAACCTCCTCTGCCTTACTGAAAAGTGCTTCCTTAGGATAATAAGATAGTTAACTGCTGTTTATAGTACATGTTTTCCATGTATTCTGCAGTTGCTTCTTCTTCCACATTTAGAAGCAATTTGATGTGTCTTAAAATTGTGCCAACCAGAATGTGTACTATTGTCTTTGGGAAAATGCGCAATGGAAATAATTTGCTTTCCCTAAAATACAGGGATAATAAAATTTTAAACTGAAAAAAATAGTAATAAAAATTAAACTTTACAGAAATCAGTTACAATATATTTTAGGTACCTGCAAACTGTGATTTCAGTGCCAAATGAGGAGGAAGGGGAAACGGGTTGGCTATGAGCCACACCATTGGCACAAGCTGTGTGCACAGCAGCCCCACATTGCTCAAGCATCCCCAGTTGTGCTTTCCTACTTGTCTGCCTGCCCAAATCGATGCAGGGCCAATGGTGGCGCCCAGTCAGGTACTGGAAGATGAGCCATCATCAAGGGAGATTTGGAGACATGCCAAGCTGCAGGCCAGCAGTTGGCCTAAAGGTGTGCCAGGCTAGCCTGGTGCCCCAGCCCCTGACATGTGTACCTGGGGCTTCCATTGCACTTGCTGCATGATTTGAATTTAAATTCAAGAAATGTATAGCTTTTAGAAATGATAAGATAGCTGTGTGTGTGTATCTTTATTCAATTTAATTTCTCAGATTTATTTTGGCTCTAAGATTCCATTTATAATAGATATCATATTCTCTATAATAAAATTAAAATGAAAAGTAAGCAATTTTACTCCTTAACAGAAAAAACTTTCTAGAGGAAAGGGTTCAGTTTTTTACCACAGTCACCTAAGGACCTTTTTAAGACCTCCTATCTGTGTTTTTTAATTGCATCGTGATTGTGCCCTATGCATGATTTTGTAATGATTGTCCTGGCCAACCAAAACCAAATCCTCTATTACAATGTGTTTTTTCAAAGTTCCCAGTCCCTCAATTGGCATCCAGTTGGTAGTTAATAATTGCTTGTAGAGTACATAAATGCTGCTTAGAGGTGTGAGATTTACAAATAGTAAGCAAGATTTTTACCTCTAATAATAAAAATTAAACTCACATGAAATCCACCTCACATATACAATTTCTTGTAATAGGAAAGTGGGTATTGCTTTGTGTATGTTGTTAAGATTTAATTTGTCTGTATGCTATGTATCTGTGTGCAAAAATATAAAGAAGTACAAATTTTTGAGAGCAATACTGTAAAAAAAACTCGAAGTTAAACTATACATAATCTTTATATCCAGATATTCCAGTTCTGGTAATTTGTCCTACTAAATTCAGCATTTTAAAAATATTTTAAAAAGTAGTAGTTTTAAGGTTGGCATAATGGATTAAAAAACAAAATCCAACAATATGCTGATACAAGAAACCCACTTCATCCACAAAGAAATTCATAGACTGAGAGTAAAAGGCTGGAAAACAGTTCTCCATGCGACAAAAGTCTGGAAAAAAAGTGAGGGTAGCTATCCTATTTGCAGACAGAATAGATTTCAAACCAAAACTAATGAAGAGAGACAATGAACGCCACTACATCCTTGTAAAGTGAACAATAAAAGAGGAAAAAAATGACAATCATAGATATATATGCACTGAATACTAATGCCCCCAACTACACAGAACAAATATTAATGGATATGGAAAACAAAATAGGCACTAATACAAATGTAATGGGAGACCTCAATACTCCACTGACACAAACAGATTATCTAGAGAAAAAATCAACAACAAAATAACAGAACCGAACCAAGTCTTAGAACAAATGGACTTAGATTCTACAGTGTTCCACTCCACAAAATCAGAATATACATTCTTTTCAGCTGCACATGGATCATTCTCCAAAATAGACCACGTTAGCTCATAGAACATGCTTAAATTAATGCAAAGGAACTGAAGTTATCCCCTATATATTATCAGACCATAGAGCAATTAAATTGAAGATCAATAGCCCAAGAAAATGCAAGAACTTCACAAACACATGGAAATTAAATAACACCCTGCTGAACAACCAATGGATCACAGAGTAAATTTAAAGAAGAAATTAGACTGTTTCTGCAATTAAATGACAATGACAATGCAACATACAGAAATCTATGGGACACAATGAAAGCAGTTCTATGAGGGAAATTCAGAGCAATAAATGCCCATACTAGGAAAACAGAGCAAGAGCAAATAAACAACCTAATGCTTAACCTCAAGCACCTAGAAAAAGAAGAGCAAGACAAACCAAAAGATCATACAAAATAGGAAATTATAAAGATCAGAGCAAGAATTAATGCAATGGAGACTAAGATAATGATACAAAAAATCAATGAATCGAAGAGTTGGGTTTTTTGAAAGAATAAATAAAATTGATAAACCCTTAGCCAACTTTATCAAAAAAGGAAAGAAAAGGCTCAAATTCACACAATTAGGAATAAAGAAGGTGAAGTCACAACAGATCCAGGAGAAATTGAGAGGATCATCAATACCTACTTTGAAAAACTATACCCTAATAAAATGGAAAATACAGAAGAAATGGACATATTCTTAGAAACATATGAACTTCCAAAGTTGAATGAAGAAGATATAAAAAGTCTAAACACCTCAATTACATTCAGTGAAATTGAAAATGTAATTAAAACATTACCAACAAAGAAAAGCCCAGGCCCTGAAGGCATCAACTGCTGAATTTTACAAGACATTTAGAGAAGAGCTAGTGCCACTACTCTTTAAACTCTTCAATGAAATTGAAAGGGAAGCAATACTTCCAATTCATTCCTGGAAGCAAGTATTACTACTTCATTCCAAAACTAGGGAAAGACCCAACCAAAAAAGAGAACTAGAGAGCAATCTCTCTAATGAAAATAGATGCACAAATCCTCAATAAGATACTGGCAAACAGAATACAGGAGATAATCAAGAAAGTTTATACAAACTGACCAACTTAGATTTATCCCAGGGATACAAGGATGGTTCAACATATGTAAATCAGTAAATGTAATACACTATATTAACAGAATCAAAAACAAAACCCTATGAACATCTCAATGGATGAATAAAAGGGATTTGACAAAATTCAACACATATTCCTGATATAAACCTTACAGAAAATTTATCTCAGCATGATAAAGGCTATCTATGAAAATCCAACAGCCAATATCATTATAAATGTTCAAAAACTAAAAACCTTCATGCAGAAATCAGGAACA